AGGTGGTCTGGTATTCCCATCTCTTGAAGAATTTTCCACAGTTTGTTGCAATCCACACAAAGGCTTTGGTGTAGTCAATAAAGCAGAAGTAGATGATTTTCTGGGAACTCTCTTGCTTTTTCTGTGATCCAATGGATGTTGGCAAGTTGATCTCTGGTTCCTCTGCCTTTTCTAAATTCAGCTTGAACATCTGAAAGTTCTCAGTTCACATGCTGTTGAAGCCTAGCTTGGAGAATTTTGAGCACTACTTTGCTAGTGTGTGAGATGAGTGCAATTGTGCAGTAGTTTGAGCATTCTTTGACGTTGCCTTTTGTTGGGATTGGAATGAAAACTGAGCTTTCCAGTCCTGTGGCCACTGAAAATTTTCCAACTTTGCTGGCATATTGAGTGCAGCACTTTCACAGCATCATCTTTTAGGATTTGAAACAGCTCAACTGAAATTCCATCATCTCCACTAGCTTTGTTCTTAGTGATGTTTCCTAAGGCCCACTTGACTTTGCATTCCAGGATGTCTGGCTCTAGGTGAGTGATCACACTGTCGTGGTTATCTGGGTCATTAAAATCTTTTTTGTATAGTTCTTCTGCATATTCTTGCCACCTCTTCTTAATATCTTCTGCTTCTGTTAGGTCCATAGCATTCCTGTCCTTTATTGAGCCCATCTTTGCATGAAATGTTCTTTTGGTTTCTCTTAATTTTCTTGAAGAGATCTCTAGTTTTTCCCATTCTATTGTTTTTCTCTATTTCTTTGCATTGATCTCTGAGGAAGGCTTTCTTATCTCTCCTTTCTATTCTTAGGAACTCTGCATTCAGATGGGTATATCTTTCCTTTTCTCCTTTGCCTTTAGCTTCTCTCCTTTTCCCAGCTATTTGAAAGGCCTCCTCAGACAACCATTTTGCCCTTTTTCATTAGTTTTTCTTGGGGATGGTTTTGACACTGCCTCTTGTACAATGCCATGAGCTTTCATCCACAGTTCTTCAGACACTCTATCAGATTTAGTCCCTTGAATCTATTTGTCATTTCCTCTGTACAAGCATAAGGGATTTGACTTAGGTCATACCTGAATGGTATAGTGGTTTTGCCTAGTTTCTTCAATATAAGTCTAAATTTCGCTATTAGGAGTTCATGATCTGAGCTACAGTCAGCTCCCAGTCTTATTTTTGCTGACTGTACAGAACGTCTCCTTAATGGACTCTCTTTAACGGGTGGCATTTGGGCACTGGTGTGTGTGTGAAGTTTGGCTCGCTTTTGTCTTGAAGGATCCTATATTTACAGGTGTTTATTTTGCTCCACTACCCCGTGTGGAAAGGCACCCTTGCCCTTTCTAACACTCCTCCTTCCCAAAAGTGATGCCTTTCTGAAGTCACCGCTGAGCCCCAAGCTGCCCTGTGGTCCCGTCTTGGTGGCTGGTCTACATCCCTGTTGGAGTTCTGGACCTATTTCAGCTCAGTCTTAGGGCACTTGTCCATCTCCTCTCCTCTCCACAATCCTTCTTAGTTCTCCAGGAAGTCTTAAGACAGAGGCGAGAGAGAGATCTTTGGTGGACTTTGGGGTTTTTTACTTACAAGAAATATGACGTTTCTATTTTTCATGATTTGTGTGGTTGCATTTTTTTTTTCAGGACTATGCAGAGATTTAGTTTTAATGATGGTCACTCAGCAAAAGAGACACAGATGTATAGAACAGTCTTTTGGACTCTATGGGAGAGGGCGAGGGTGGGATGATTTGGGAGAATGGCATTGAAACATGTATATTATCAAACATGAAACGAATCGCCAGTCCAGGTTCGATGCATGAGACAGGGTGCTCGGGGCTGGTGCACTGGGATGACCCAGAGGGATGGGATGGGGAGGGAGGCGGGAGGGGGGGTCGGGATGGGGACACATGTACACCCGTGGCGGATTCATGTCAACGTATGGCAAAACCACTACAATATTGTAAAGTAATTAGCCTCCAATTAAAATAAATGTATATTTTAAAAAATTGTCACTATCTTGTTTTACACAGATGTTCAACTGCCTTTTTTATAGTTTCATCTTTAGAGTTTATAATGTTTTGTGAAAATGCAATACAGTTTCAAATATGGTTCTCACCTCGTGAAGCAGAGTAATCTTAGCTGTTTCCACAGCCCCTGTGCAGTCTGAGTGTCTGAGTACCCTCCCCGCCACTCACGTCCTGAACCTACGGTAAGGGCACTCTGCTCAGTATCATGTGACCGCCTGGGTGGGGCGGGGTTTGGGGGAGCATGGTACATGTGTAGGGCTGAGTCCCCCCGTTCACCTGAAACCATCATGAGATTGTTAATTGGCTATACCCCAATAGAAAATAAAAAGTTTAAATTTAAAAAAAGAATCTGTGTACATATATACTATATATATATATATATATATATAAGAAGTTCTAATTCTTTGGCCACCTGATGTGAAGAACTGACTCATTGGAAAAGACCCTGATGCTGGGAAAGATTGAAGGCGGGAGGAGAAGGGGACGACAGAGGATGAGATGGATGGATGGCATCACCGACTCGATGGACATGAGTTTGAGTAAGCTCTAGGAATTGGTGATGGACAGGGAAGCCTGGTGTGCTGCAGTCCATTGGGTCACAACGAGTCAGACACGACTGAGCGACTGAACTGAATTGATACACACACACATATATATAAAACTGAATCACTTTCTGTATAGCAGTAATTAACATGACACTGTAAATAAACTATATTTCAATAAAATAATTAAAATTTTTTTAAAAAGTCATAAAGTGAAAGTCCTGTCCAACTCTTCGAGACCCAGTGGACTATACAGTCCATGGAATCCTCCAGGCCAGATTACTGGAGTGGGTTCTACTCCCTTCTCCAGTTGATCTTCCTGATTCAGAGATCCAACCTGGGTCTCCTGCACTGTAGGCAGATTCTCGACCGTTACCAGGGTAGTCATTGGACCTATACATCTGAAAGTCACTCAGTCATGCCCGACTCTGCGACCCAGAGTCGGTATAGTCCATGGGATTCTCCAGGCCAGAATACTGGAGTGGGTAGCTGTTTCCTTTTCCAGGTGATCTTCCCGAGCCAGGGATTGAACCCAGGTCACCTGCACTGCAGCTGACACCCTAAGCCCTGATGTGATGGGACTGAGGGGTGGGGCCTTTGGGAGGTGATTAGGTCATGAGGGTGGAGCCTCATGATGGGAATGGTGGTTTGGTGGTTTAGTTGCTAAGCCATGTCCGACTCTGTGACCCCATGGACCATAGCCTGCCAGGTTCCTCTCCCCACGGGATTTTCCAAACAAGAATACTGGAGTGGGTTGCTATTTGCTTCTCCAGGGGATCTTCCCAAAACAGGGATTGAACCTGGGTCTCCTGCATTTCGGGCAGTCTCTTTACCAAGCCACCAGGGAAGCCCAATGGGTCTGCTTCCAGCATCTGCTTTTTTCTGCTGTCTCACTCACCGAGTCTTCATCTCCCAGGTGTTTTCTCAGGAAATCCTGCTTGAAAAAATAATGAACAAGGATAATGTGAAGGTTGGGGTGATGTTTTTGTCTTTCACTGTCGTTTTCTCCCATCAGGCGTCTGGGAGGCTGGTGGTCAGGTGGGAACCCTGACCACCAACAGTTCTAACTGTTGCCTCCTTACCTGCATACAGGTTTCTCAAGAGGCAGGTCAGGTGGTCTGGTATTCCCATCTCTTTCAGAATTTTCCACAGTTTATTCTGATCCACACAGTGATAGGCTTTGGCATAGTCAATAAAGCAGAAATAGATGCTTTTCTGGAATGCTCTTGTCAAGAGTGTATGTCTATTACACTTTAATAAAACTTTGCTACACAAAAAGCTCTGAGTAGTCAAGCCTTGTCTCTGGCCCTGGATCGAAATCCTCTCCTGTGGAGGTCACGAATCCCGGCATAGCACACGACTCACCACCGCAACCTTTCAGTGGCACCACCAACCCAGTGCCAAAGCCTATCAGTGCAGCCTCCATATGCAGCCCACAGCACCCCTGCCTGCTCCATCGCTGAAGCACCCTCTAAACCTTAGCAGATGCTCTCCTGGAAGGCTGGCTCCCAACCAAGCAGGAAGGCCATGTGTCCACCATGCTGACATCCTTGCCCGGGGCCCTCCCAGTGCAATCAGAAGAACTGAAGCTCCCACCAGGCTTCAGGTCACAGAAGGCTGTGGCCGGAGACCCTAACTTACAGCCCAACCCTTGCCTGACCCTCAGATCCAGCCACTTGGGCCTCCTGAAGCTTATCAAGTAAGCCAGGGCTCAGTCCCACGTGGTTGAGGGTCCTCTGCTTGACCCTCTGCATCCCCGCCCCCATTTTGTCTTCCTGACCTCCCCCCACGTCTGTTTACCTGTCTGCTCTACGAGGGGTAGGGGCTCTGACTCCTCGGTGGGACCCCCGGCTCCGAGGACAGGACTAACACCAAGCATGGGCTCACAGTGTTTGGGGAGTTAACCCACTAAACCATTTTTAGATGCGCCACCCCATATCCCGTGGTCGTCTTCAGTACAGGTAATCCCTTACGCAAAGCCCGCCCCAACAAATTACTAACAGTAATCAAGTCTCTAACAGCTTGGAGACAAAACAGGCAACCTAGGCCAGACGCCACCCGCCTGGGTCCACCCGCACATCTGAGCCCTGCACTTGGAGCGCGCGCAGGCCCGCCCCCTCCGCTCCGGCCGGAGCAAGCCCCGCCCCTCCCCATCCGGCCCCCGCTCTGTCCGGCCCCGGCCCCTCCGCTCCGGCCCGCACAGGCCCCGCCCCGCCCCATCCGGCCCCGCACAGGCCCCGCCCAGCGCCCCGCCCCTCCCCATCCGGCCCCCGCTCTGTCCGGCCCCGCCCCCTCCGCTCCGGCCAGCACAGGCCCCGCCCCGCCCCATCAGGCCCCGCCCCGCCCCACCGACACCCGCACAGGCCCCGCCCAGCGCCCCGGCCCTCCCCATCCGGCCCCGCCCCGCCCCGGCCTTGTGTAGGTCTGCCAGCCCGTTCCTCGCGCCGAGCCAGCCATGGTGAACCTGGGCCTGTCCCGGGTGGACGACGCCGTGGCCAGCAAGCACCCGGTGAGAAGGCCGGCCTGGACGCGGGCCCCGACCTCAGAAGCCGACCTGAGCGGGGCGGGGGCCTTGGTGGGAGTACCTTCATCAGGGAGGCGAAGAGGGACAGAGGCGTGGGACCCTCTTGCGGTGGTGGTGGAGGCCTGCCGCCTGCGGGGGCACGGGGGCCGGTGCGGTGTGTCTGGGTCCCAGGGCCTCACGATGAGTGGTCCCCTCCCCCGGGGCCGGAGTGCGCCCTAGAGAGGGACAGGAGGGGCAGGGAACTGAGACTTCAACCCCTTTTCCATCCCAGGGACTAGGTGAGTACGCTGCGTGCCAGTCGAACGCTTTCGTGAAGGGCGTTTCCACCTTTGTTACAGGTAGACTGGGTCCGGGGTGTGAGGTCAAACCCTGACTCCCCAGCAAGTGGCGCCAGGTCACCAGCCCGCAGTGCTGGGAGCCTGGCAGGTGCTGCGGGCGCCCCGGCTCTGCCGCGGTGGTCCCCTGGCCAGCCCTGTGGACAAGCTGGCTGATGGGGACCGTGGCTCTTGGCAGGCACCGGTGCGACCTTCGGCCTGCAGATGCTGGTCCAGAGGAAGCTTCCATGCCCCTTTCAGTGGAAGGTGCTGGTGGCTGTGGGTGGGTACTCCAGCCTGGGACCCCTGAAATGCACCCCAGTTGCCGCTGGCTCTTCAGCAGAAGTGGGTTCCCACTAGGAGTGGGTGGCTGTGGTTCTGGGCATGCCCGTCCCACTGACCCCTGACCCCTGCTCCCCAGTCGCAGGCTCAGTGGCCAGCTACTGGGTGACCCGCGTAGAGTCGCAGAAATGCAGCGACCTCTGGCTCTTCCTGGAGACAGGGCAGCTCCCCAGAGACATGCACACAGGTGAGAGTCCCCAGGGCAGCGGGACGCAGAACCGAGGCACCAGTGCCCAGAGCTGGAGGCAGCAAGCCCAGGCCCATGGTGTAGGCTGCACAGGCCTGTCCCCTTGACATGCGCACGAGGGGCGCGGACGGGAAGGAGAGGGCCCGTGTGCAGGAGGAGGACGCAGGAGGGGGTGGGTGGCCCTGGGGGAGTGAGTGCAGAGGGAGGAGGGCAGACACCCCAAGAAGAGCGACTGGATGGAAAGGCTCTGCATCGGACACCAGGCTGGCTGATCTCAGGTCTGGCCTCCACTGCCTGCACCCCTCCTGTTCCAAGCCTCAGTTTTTACCTCCAGAAAATGGGCACAGGGACTGGGATCAGCTTTGGGTTGTGGTTCTAGCTGTCTTCTCTGCTTCCTACAGATCGGCGTAGCTAGGAGCACTCCAGCCGGGGCACCGGAGACCTGGGGCCAGACAGTTCTAGAACACAGCCCTCGGCCCCTCTGTAACCTAGGTTGGCCCTCCCCACACCCGTGGCCCCCGCACACAGGCATGACCAGGTCTGTTGAACCTGTGCAGACTGCTCCTGCCCAGCCTGACTGCCCAGGAGCTCAAGCCAGGAGCCTCTGTTCCTGGGGTGGCTGTCCTCCTGCAGGTGGACACAGCACTGGGGAGGACCAGCATGCCTTTGGGGGCAGCCCTGGAGCAGGGAGGGGCTTCTGCACTCTGCCACTGACACTCCCTTTCTGGCCCCTGCATCCCCCACCCACGCCAGTCAGAGGTGACAGTTCCCCCCGGGGGCTGGGGAACTAATAAACACCTTGTCCTGTTTCCCACCTAAGTTCTAAAGCAGTCACGGAACAAGTCAGAGCAGTAAGAAGATGACAGAAACATCTCCTTGGAGCCACACCGCTGACGGAAGGAGGCACCAGGGCAGTTCTGAATCTGAACCCCAGAATTAGACATCTGGGGGGCCGCACATGCTCTCCACGTGGGCTGGGGCGGGGGGGCACAGAGCAGGTGTGTGCAGCCAAACAACATCTGGCTCAGGAGAGGAGGGCAGGAAATGACCTCACCCAGCTGCCCACCATCCCAACCCGCCTGTCAGGTTCAGCCACTTCTCTCCGGCGGGAGGAGAAAGTGAGCGGTGCAGGGAACCAGAGCCAGCTGACTGGAGCTCTGTCCACACGGAGGAAGGCTCCTGAGTGGGCAGGGTTGTCCAGCTCAGCCACAGCCCACAGAGGGAGAGGGAGCGGAAGAGATGACCCGAAACCTGGGCAGAGCCGTCGTCCTTTCCAGCAGGCTCCTCCGGAACACTGAAGGTGCACCTCCCAGGGCCTCGATGCTCCAGGCCCAGCCCCGCCCTGCTGGCCTGGCCCACCACTCAAAAGAACATCTATTGCACACTTACGTGTACCAAGGAATCTGTGTGTAGTAAGGCAAAATGGTAACCATGGCATAAGTCAGCTAGAGTTTGCGTTTTCTTTCGTGTAGAAGTCCAAGTGGGTGGCCAGGGGCCAACAGGGAGTCAGGAGCCCAGGCTCCTCTTGCTGTGCTCTCTGCTATAAGGGCCCCCATTCCAAACCTATCTCATGGTGCCAAGCAGCCGTACCAGCTCCAGCCATCGTGCCTTCATCCCTGTGAAGAGGAAGGAAAAAGGGAGAGGAGAGTGATTCACTCACTACTCCTGTGTTCACTCCATGGGCTAGAACTAAGTCACAGAGACACCTAGTGCAAAGGCCCCTAGGAGGGCGGCCTTGCTCCAGGCAGCATGTGTCCCCCTAAAGCTTGGGTTCTCTATCTGAGGAGAGGCGAACCAGTATCAGGGAACAGGCTCTGCATCACCCCAGGGAGAAGAGGGGCAGCGAAGGAGTAGACCGTGCCCATGGCAGGTCCTTCCTGAGGGTAAGACCTGGGCTCGGGGGGGCAGAGGATGAACCTGGAGTTTCAGATGGAACTGAAAACAGAGAGTGAGCGGAATGGAAAAGGGCCTGTGTGAGAGGTCACAGAAGAAGATGCGAGCTGCAACAGCACACGGGTGAGGCCACTGCTGTGGCTGAATTGTCTCCCCCAGGCTCACAAGTGTGCAGCCCTGCCCCAGGACCTCAGGGTGTGACTGCATCTAGAGACCCGGTCTTTAGAGGGGTTGTTATCAGTTGCTCAGTCGTGTCCGACTCCTTGCAACACCATGGACGGTAGCATGCCAGGCCTCCCTGTCCTTCACATCTCCCAGAGTTTGCTCAAACTCATGTTCAATGAGTTGGTGATGCCATCCACCCATCTCATCCTCTGTCATCCCCCTTTTTCCTCTTGCCCTCAATCTTTCCCAGCATCAGGGTCTTTTCCAATCAGTCAGCTCTTCACACCAGGTTGCTAAAGTATTGGAGTTTCAGCTTCAGCATCAGTCCTTCCAGTGAATATTCAGGGTTGATTTCCTTTGGGTTTGACTGGTTTGATCTTGCAGTCCAAGGGACTCTCAAGAATTTTCTCCAGCACCACAGTTTGAAAGCTTTCTTTGGTGCTCAGCCTTCTTTAAAGGGGTAACTAAATTAAACGGGGATGGGCCCTCATCCCGTCAGACTGGTGTGCTTATCAGAGTAGGTTAGGACCCCATGAGGACACAGCAGGAAGGCGGCATCTACCAGCCTGGGGGAGAGGCCTCAGCAGAAGCCAGCCCCGCGACACCTTGATCTCAGACTGCCAGCCTCCAGGTTGCACGACAATAAATTCCTGTTGTTTGAGCTGCCGGGTCTGTGGTGCTTTGTTTCGGCAGCCCTGGCAAACTCATGCATGTTGGGAAAAGTACCCCAGCTGGTGCGCACCCCCTGGAACCCCAGGCTTGAGCCACATGGTTCTAAGGCAGCCTTGGGCTGGGGGTGCAGAAGGAGGGCACTGGCCCCTCCTGTAGTCAGGTGAAGTGGTTGAAAATCACTGTGTCCACCCCTTCGCAACGCTATGGACTGTAGCCCACCAGACTCCTCTGTCCACGGGGATTCTCCAGGCAAGAATACTGAAGTGAGTTGCCATGCCCTCCTCCAGGGGATCATCCCCGCCCAGGGATCCAACTCAGGTCTCCTGCACTGCGGGCAGATTCTTTACCACCTGAGCCACCCTGGAGGCCAGATTTATCTCTGGAGTGAGTGCAAGCTGAAACCAGATCCAGGGCTTCGCCAGGGAAGCGGGGGTCCTGCCCGTGACGAGGTCGTGAAGAAAACACCGGGCAGGCAAGGCCGTCCGGGACCCCGTCCATGACGAGGTCACCAGGAAAAAACCTGACAGGCAAGGCCGTCTAGGATGAGGGGCCCTCCAGGTTGGCCTCGGCCTCTACCCCACCCCGTATCCTCCCCCCCTTTTCTGCTGTTGGTCTTGGTCGCCCTGCTGCGGATTCTTGTGTTGCCTGCTGAGCGCTCTCCTGCTCCTCTTTCACCGAATGAGGACCAACTGAAAACCCTAATTAATAAATCTCCTAGATGCTGGTACCCTATGAAGGGGCCAAGGATGAAGGGAATGCTTCAATTCAAACCCTTTTGCTGGCACTCTAGCTTGTTTGGCATATGTGTGCTCCTATTGCAGAAAATGCTCATGATTGTTCTAAACATCCTAAGCACAGTACGCTAACAAAAGAAGCTATTAAGCATAGGCCCCTTCGCGGGGTGAGAAAAGCTCCACAAATATTATAGCCACATATGTGCCTAATAGAAAATAGTTTAGATAGAGAATTAGCTGGCGACTTCTTGCAGGTAGTTAACTTTTAGACTAAGAGCCTGTTTTGTGCCATATCTGCTGTTTCTGCAATCCTTTACATTTCTGTTCTGTAAAAATGTAATCCTATCTAGTTCCCATAGAGACGACACCTAATAGAAAGAAAATAGATTAACCACAAAAAAGACAGTGTCAGCTACTGAAGTTGCTTAAAGTTGCACCAGGTGCAAGCCATAAATTGTCAACAGGCCTGAAAGCCAAAAGATATCATACATAGAGATTAACCATTAAAAAGGCCCTAGTAGGCACAGAGCCCTTTGGGGGGTGAGGAAGCCCTATTAGAGAATACAAAAAAATAGTTTTAAAAGTGGTTATTAGATCAACGTTTGATTGATGTTAATGTGCTGAGGTTGTGCAGTGGAAACTATTGTTAATATAGTTGGAGATCTAGTAAAATAAGAGTTTAGCCCTAGTGTAAAAACGATAAATAATTGTTAATTTTAACTAGGAGTGCTAAACAGGGGCTGCCTCACCAGAGCCACAGAGTCTTTGTGTGTTAAACTTTTTAGATACATTTAGCTGAGAATTTCTGCAAAAAAACTGGCTTTTATGTCAACAGGATTGTATTTCTATTATGTTACAACTTGCTGTACCATGAGACCGCCACTGTTCTGTTTCCTGCTGAGCTCAAGGCCAGAAGATAATGTACAAAAATCTACGGGAAAAGACTCTCATAAACAAAAACATACAGAGCATGCCTGGTTTCGTGAAGGACAAGCTGATGTAATGTTAAACTAAGTCTGTGTGCTTATCTGCCCCTAAGAAATGAACCAACTTAGGGCATAAAGGCGACGGTGAAAAGTAAAGCAACTGCCAGACTCTGCCGCAGCTTCCTGGTCTGGTCTGGTCTGGTCTGGTCTCTCTCTCTCTCTCTCTCTCTTTCTCTCCCTCTCCCTCTCTCTCTCCCTAGCAGACTTGGCCCCATCAAAGCCGGTCCTATGTGTCTCTCTCTCGCCAACGCCGTTCATCCTGAGGGTTCCCCTGGATCCAGCTGGGGCTGGACCCCGACAGGGGTCGAGCAGGGAAGGTCATTAAGAGATGTGGGGTAGTGAGGGCTGAGGTTGGGGGTCTCACGAGCCGGGTCCCCAGGGTGTGGTTTGAACTTGGGGTGGTGTGAGGAGACCCTGTAGGCAGTGAGAGGTTGGCGGTTTGTCGATGCTCCATGGAGGACCGTGGGGGTGTGGGGAGGACGGAGATGGTGCAGTGGGGCCAGTGGGGGGTGCAGTGTGAAGCCACCACAGGTCACCCTGCAGAAAACAGCGGCCCTGAGCAGGGCAGCACTCCTGAGCAGAGAGCAGCAGGGAGACTCCTGTCTGGGGGAACAACCCTGAGGCTGCTGGGGGCAGAGGGTGGGGTCACCAGGGGGGCCCGGCAATTCCTGGGTTCCCTGGGCACTCAGAACCGTGGTCCCCGTCACAATGGGCCAGGATTCCAGGGACAATCCGAACTGAGGTTCTGCGGGGCAGGCTCAGCACAGACAGGGTGGGTGGCGCGGAGGGGCCCTGGAGGACGCAGGGGCCGCCATGAAGATCCGCAATGAGGCGGAGATGGAGGAGCAGATCCAGGAGCTGAACACCATCACTCGGCTCCAGGGTGCGTCTGCCGCCGGGTGACCAGGGGCTCCAGGTGCAGGCCTGTTGGCCCCAAGACAGGCCAGGGCAAACTGGCTAGGGGC